GAAACCTACAATCTGCTTGAAACATCTTTGCGCTAACACAGAAGACACTGCACCCCCCCCTGGCTGGACAACTACAGTCCAACCACTGCAATATTACATGTGGCCAGAAGATGGTGCTATTAGGGGAAAAAAAAAAATTCTGGTTGGGTGCTGCTGGAGGAGGAAAAAAACCTCCATGTACTACACAGAAAGGTGCTAAATAAAATATGGGAGGGGGGGGGGGGGGGGTTCTAATTGCTCTGGAGATAGTACACTTAGGGTTGTACAATACAGTAGCATTTCAAACTGTGCTACACACGTGTACATTCCCTACATATTGCGACTACACTTGATCCTTAGGCTAAGCACTGGCGGCCAGCACTCAGCATTTGAAGATTAGTCCAGTGGTTCTGTTCATTCTGCATCATAGACGGCATCCATGGTACTTGCCCATATAGCTTATTCCTTCCTTGTTGAAAGCTAGGCACCAGACGTGGCTGATATTGGAAGTGGGCGGTCTGCCTCCTCTTTGGGTTCTTGTTCCAAGTAGGAAGAGCCAGTTGTGGCACAAACTCTGGCACCTGGACAAAAATTATAAAAACAAAAATGAAAAAAACTAACAATGTAAAAGGAAATCTGTCAAGGAAGATGCTCACTACCCTTTGGTTCTATTACCATTGTCTCAGAACAAGCCTGCATACAGTGTTCAAAATATTGAAGACAAAGTATCAGAATGAGGATCAGGCATCTCCCTCATGTATTCGTCACCACAGAGTGAAGCCCCCCCCCCCCCCCCCCACACAAAAACACACAACTATTACACATAGTAACCATCATCTAGAACAGTGGTCTCTAAACTGCGGCCCAGGGGCTGGATGCAGCCCTTTGCTTGCTTTTATCCAGCCCTTGGGGCATTATTCTCCCCACCATCAGCAACAGTGGGCATAGTTCACCCCCACTGACACCAACAATGGGGCACTATTCCACCCACTGACACCAACAATGGGACACTATTCCTCGCCAACAATTGGAAACTATTCCTCCCATCGATACCAGTGATGGGGCACTATAGCTCCTGTTAATACCAATGTTTTTGCACTGTTTACTCCCACTGATGCCAGGACATTTTCTACTCCCACTGGCCACACTCTGGCCCCCTGTAAAGTCTGAAGGACTGTAAACTGGCCCTTTGTTTATAAAGTTTGGAGACCCCTGATCTAGAACTACCTTTCCAGTGGCATGTCTTGCTATGCTGCCGCTTCACTGCTCCCTTTCACATGCCGGTAGCCAATCCTTTTGTCGGGTGTGGAATTCCCATTTCCTGCCACACACTATTTCCTCGAACACCTGCAGTTACAGGGAAGCAGTGCAGCAAAGGCATTTCAAAGATGTCGAGCCCCTGCCTTTATGTAACCCTACAAACAAAAGCCCGGTGAGGCGTGTCAAGGTGTTGTCGGGCATATTGTAACATTAGTGCAGTAAAGGCTTCTTTCTGGCAACTTGATCATGCATCTCATTTTTGTTCAAGTATTGTCGTATTAGGCTCCTAGATACAACCACACTGTGTTTTTTTTTTCCAGAGCAGCCTGTAACTCTCCTGTGGATTTTTCTTTGTAGCCACAACTGCCAGAAAAAATGTTTAAGATACAATCTTTCTACCTGACCTGGGCATCAAGCGATCCCTGAATCTTCTTAAGTGATTGAACAGCCCTGACTGGCATATTCAAGGTTTGGTTATCTTTTCACATTCTTTTCCATCTTTATATAGTCCCATCACCTTTTTTCTGCAGGTCTTTTGACAGTTCTTTTCTGCTCCCTATGCCTCAGTATCTAGTCTGCTCAGTACATTAACATGAGAGCTAACAAATTCACTGACAATTTCATTGACTATATATACAGACACTAATTGTAATTTACAATCTCACAGATGTGGGAAAATTACCATTAATTTTCATTTTAAACTGTGCATGTCAACTTGTATTTTCGGTACCAAGGCCAAACATTCCAGGGTATGTAAAATTTTGATCAGGACCATTTGTGTGATTTCTATTAGGATTTTAAAAGCCAAAAACAACCATGTGATAATAAATGGCTTCATGTGATTGATATCCTTACATAAAAGACAGGGTTTTTTTTTTTTGCCATAATCAGTCATATTTTCAATATCAATGCCAGAATTTCACACTTTCTTCCAGAAAATGCAAACTTTTGAGCACAACTGTACATATGAGTGTTCCAGGTCAAAGGCTTATCAAGGACAAGTATGACGGCCTTGAATCTTTGACCTTCAAAAAAAAAAAAGTCCGCAATGGCAATTCCCATATATCTGCTACTACAGGTTTCCCTTATGTTCTTTACTGATATCTTACCACAGCCAACACGTACAGCAGATTCCTCATGGATACAGAATCATGTTTATTAAGGATTAATTTATCTACACCAAGCTTGTTCCAGGTGGCAGGTTCACACTACACTACTGTGTACCAAGGCAGTCCACAATAGCCACAGCTTATTTTAGAAATAGTTACTGTTGCTTAGGAGCAAATGAGCCTGACATTCAAATGCAGAAAACAAGGAAATGAGAAGATATGATATCAGATTTAAACATGACCTCATCTCCACTCACTGCACGGCTTGTTAACTCTTCCTCACCCAGTAACGTGTTCACATACAAAATTGCCTTTGTGGCCAGTGTGGTAAAGGATTTTCTTACACACCACCCTTAAGCCTAGTACAGACGATCAGAAAATCATACGAAAAATACTGCTTTCAAAGAGATCTCACGATAATCTGATAGTACACAGCTTTGGTCCGAAATTATTCAGAGGGACAAGAACAAAAATTTCTCATATCAGATTGTACGATTTTAATTCAATCAGTTTTCGTCTGAAAATACAATTGCATCACTTTGGAATTTTTATTCTGTTGTACAAGAATTTACTTAAAATTTAGCAACCTCTTCACTTTCAAAATGAGACTGGCATGCAAAAAAAGAAAGAAAAAATAAAATTCGTCTGATATTCTCATCGTGTGTACGGGGCTTTAGGCAGGTCAAAGACAAATTGCAAATCTTTCCTGAAACCACAGGTTGCAGAAAAGAAATTCGTATAATTCCCCAAACACCAAACAGTGCTGACAGGGGAATCCCTTCTGCCGAGCCATTGTTTCCTCCCTGTGGGGAGGTGGGCCAGGGAAGCTGTCCCTCCCAGGAAAAGACAGTGATATAGCTATAGCTGCCGCTAGCAATAATCGCAAATAAATCTGGCAGGCTGATTGTACCCAAGCTGATCGATCAACTTGGTATGTTCAGCCTGCCCATATATGGTTCAAAGTCCATCCGATTCCTGCTGAACTGCCTGAGATTTGAACCATCTATGGCCGGCCCTATAGGAGAAAATGTAAGTGTTTAAAAAAGGAAGTACATGTTTAGCACAAACAAATGTGGTCAGAAAGCGACACATTGGCATATCCCCTAAAGGTCCCTATTTTGGAGCTGGCTTATTAAACTGGGTACATTTTGTCTAAATGTGGATAATTTACAGACAGGGATTCATGGATAAGGCAGGAGATATAATGCCTTTCTTGTAGTTTTTAAAATGCTGAAAGGCACTACATGTGCAGAAATGATGAGGCAGATGAGGAAGCATCAATCATTTTGTCCTATATACTCATAAGTCAAACTGCCTTGATATGATCGAACTAACTAGATTAGAGTGATAAGTTCTTATTAGGGGTAGTGAAGTTGTGTCATGCTGGTCTTATACTGGCGATTTGTAGATGAGAAGTGAAACCACACAGGGGAACCAATATTGCTGCTCAGAAAGTGCTTAGCTTAGGACCCCCTTTCACACTACAGCCTGGTTGTAAGACACAAAATTTATCATGCAAGGCAAAAGTAATACACAAAACTAAATGTACTTGCCAGTAGACCTACAACTAGGATTGTTGAACCTACTTCCTCTGAGCCCAGGATGACAGACACACCTTAATGGGGAGGAGGATGGTGCCACTGCAGCATTGCACAGTGCCTACACGTCATTATATGTGCACCATACAGTAAGGATTGCTCAAGACCAAAGTAGATGTCAGACTAGCCAGCAGACAGCTGGAATTGAGGAAGGAAGAATAAAAGGTAGGTAGGTCTGTATGACACACACAGACACACACACACACACACACACACACACACACACACACACACACACACACACACACACGTTAGAAAGTAACTGGAGAACCAAGACTAACTAGAGTGTACCTTTTAGTAGCCAAGCACCTAATTTTAAAAAGGACAAGTTCACCTTTCCCTTCATGTTACACCCGTGTTCTGTGTATAACACATTTCTGAATCAGCAGCCCCTGTACCCTCCCAATCCCCTATAGTGACAGCAGGCCAGGGATCTTCTCTCTGCACTCACAATTAAAAAAAAAAAAAAAAAAAAAAAAAAAAAAAAAGCAGCCATGCAGGGCTCCAGCAAGCTGGCCACATCTTTCATTCACAGAGTTCTGTTAATGGGAGGACAACATAAAATCAGCCAATGAGGCGTATGACTTGTAGTTCTCAATGAACTACCAGCCTGCTAATGAGCGCTCTAGGTAGTTCATTGATCCTTCCTACCATTCAGTAATTGCCTGCCCGACCGTGGTATAGGCAGACAGCTACACTGACAGTCTGCAAGAGCCTGACTTTGCATGCTTTACAGGCGCTTAATAAAAAAAGAAAATAGATACACATTTTTCTTACCAGCAAAAAGATGTGCATTAATTTCATTCATTTTATTTAACAAAAAGTGAACTTGTCCTAGCTTGTTTAAGCATCATTTGTGGTGATCTGGCACTGTACTTGAGAAGGAAAGATCTGAGTACGGGCTTGGTTGTAGAGTTTTGCTATCATGCAGGAAAAGATCAGACATGTGTCTATAGCAAATATGGAACAGAAGTTACATTTCATTTGACAAAGGAAAAAAAAAAAAAAAAAAGCAACTCATGACTAGTGTAGATCATGCAGCTCACTTAAAGCCCTACCAACCCCCCTCCACCAAGCAATAAAAAAAAAAAAAAAAAACAAAAAAAAACACACACACACCGATCCAGTTAAATACCTGGTAAATGTCACATGTTCTGGGTATTACTGGAGTGGGCGGGGTCTTATGACTTATATACACTTCATCTTCTGATGAAGATCCTGAATGATAATCTGATGTAACTTTCTCCATGGCATAGTTCACTTTCTGAGAAATCTCCATCTTTTCATCATCTTTGCTGTCAAAGCTGGCCACCACAAAAGAAGGGTTCTTCTCTCCATACCTAGTATGACAAGAAAAGTAAAAAAAACATAAAAAGAGACACTCAACGCAACCACTGCCATTGGACCCAAGTTGGAGTTCTCTTTACCCCCCCGCCATTTGCATTCTGCCCACACATATATTGGTAATAGCAGACCATATCCTGAGCAGAATTCTGGTTGGCAGGAAGAACGATTGTTCTGTCTGTAAAAGGAATTATGAAGTCATCTGTTACACTAAGAATTTAGTAGGACTTAGGAATTCCACCAAGTTTAACAAAACAGGCCTACTTTTGATAATTAACAGAGACATAACCCCTTCTCCATTTTCAGAACACAGGGTCACCTGCTGATCCAAGTTCGTTCAAAATCCTCAAAAGTGTGTGTACATACATACATATACATATATATAACAAATCAATCACATTGGCTGCTATGTTCTCATACAATACAAACCTTACCCAACCATGGCCCAGAGATTTCAGAGCCTGCCTCCCCACCAGCAACAGATCTCAATCAATGCAAGCTTAGTTCAGGTGTGCCTCATGTTAAATCACCAGTACCCATGAAAGCACCTTCTAGGACAGGGGTAGGCAACCTGCGGCTCTCTAGCTGTTGTGGAACTAGATTTCCCATGAGACATTGCAAGTCATAGCTGTAACTGTCAATTTTGCAGAGGCATGATGGAACTTGTAGTCCTACAACAGATTGAGAGCCGCAGGTTGCCTACCCCTGTCTTAGGATAAAAGACCAGCAACATCCAACTCAGTTTCACAGTTCATTAAAATTTAAGGTGCCCATAAACTAGACAACAAATCTTTCAAAAATCTGTCATGTGGACAGTTCATTCATTTTTCGTCCAGTTAAAGTGGGACTTAAGGTAAAATAAATATTTAAAAAAAAAAGGCAGACAGGCAGGATTTTTATTGCAGAAGAGACACTCTTCTCCACTAAAGCTACCCACCTTTTCACCCCCGTACGGTGAGTCGCGCAGGTAAAGCTCACTGTACAAATTCGGCAAAACTTCCGTGCATGAGCGATGTCACTCTCACCCGGGTCAATGACAATGGCCAGCAGTTGGGACCCGGAAGCCAGTCGCCCGAATATGTGAGCAGCCGGGCAGGGAGCTTCGAATAGTGCATCGCTGGATCAGAGGGGAGTACAGTTCTACTTTAATATGCACAAACAGAAAATTGGTTTTCACGTTTGTGAGTCAAAACAAAAAAAAAAACAAAACAAAAAAAAGTTGGAAAACCTCTGCCAAAAATGGACAAAAAATTAAAAGAGGTTAATGGGTTTCATCCCAAAAAAAAATTAAAAAAAAAAAACCACACACCACATAAACTGTTCGTACTGCGCATATGTGACAAAATCGAAAAACTGATTAATTTATGTCCATTGATTGCTTTATCGTTCAAATTTCGGTTATTACACAATGACAATATTGTTTGTTCTCACGACTGAATGTTCATTATTTGAAAACGAGTTCAAACTATTTTTCAACTAGTGTATGGCTAGTACAAGCACCCTTATTTGGTCTTGGTCCCTATACAATATACAGTGACATTGAACACACCTTTAAATGTGGTTTCCTTCTTTTTAAGCACGTTCATAGTAATACAGGATAAACATGCTAAACTGAATGTAGATCGTTTCCCAAGACTGCACATGATTTGGTGCCATGCCTCCAGCCTCAGCTCATACTCATAGCATTCACTTTCACTGATCACAGCTACTTGCAGGCTTTGAATCTCCTGGAATAACTGCTGCTCACCTCTGATCTTTGAAATATACATACACACACCTATATATAAATAATGGGAGGCACTGCAATGCCACTTAGTGTTCACCGGGTGATACTATAGTGCCAGTGTCATGGTGTTGGAATCTGGATTGTGACACTCTTTGGAGAAGTCGCCACTTGGTGTGACTTTATAGAAAGTGTGATCACATTGGTTGGTTCTTTTATTATCTTTATACACTAATATATTTTTTGTTTTGCAACATGGACACATTGTGAACTTTGACAATTTTTTTTTCCCCCTAGAATAACTACATATTTGGGGTTTTCCCCCCCCCCCCATTTGAACGCGCTGGATTTATTGCAGTCGATTACACTGTATGGTTTCTTTTATACATTAATTTTGTGATTATATACACACACACTTTATATTGGAAAGTACTTTCACAGATAATTCATTAGGTAGGCTATCTTCGAATACTGAAGTAGGAGGGGAGTGCCACAAAAAACAATCCACTGAATTTGTGAACTAAATAAATGAGACGGGGGGGGGGGGGGGGTCTGCCCTGTTACAGTAACAATGCATCGTTGGTGCTTTTTTTAATGGGGTAGTAAATCCCATAAATGTAATATTTTGCAGCTTACCAATCACCAATCATTAGGGGGGGGGTGGTGTGTGTGTGTGTGTGTGATGCTAGATGCACTAGCAGATTTAGATGCGCCAAGCTCTTTTTAAGCAGTTACAGCAACGGTTTTGTTTCTTTTGGGATGTTTTATATAAATAAAATGCTGTTCATTGTAAGCACCCGTCTTTGTAAAATGGTTTGTCTCAACCCTTTAAGTCTGTAGAACAAACTGTTTTGCAGATGTAGCAGTTACTTTCAGGATCACCCAATGAAAATAAAAGCCTAAAAAAGAAAAAAACTAATGCAGCCACCATATCAAAGAACTGGTAAGCTGCAATATAATAATTTTGGTTTTAATACCACTTTAAATCTAGACAGTTTTTTTTATCACCAAGAGAACTATTTAGCTTTTTCTTAATGCAACTACTGCCTGGGCCAAACTCTCTGGACTCCAGTGGGCATTTGTAACGTGGCTGCCAAATACATTGTTACATGCTGTACCTTTTTAATCCTGCCATTATGAGGCTTTGTAAGTGCCTCATTACAGAATTTTCCATGCAAGAATATTAGACTTGGAGACATGCGCCCGATTGAGCAATGTTCCAGATAGAGGAGGCTGAGCCAGACAAGCAAAACAGCGTGTACCAAAACAGCCATTTCCCCAGAAACAGACTATAAGGATGCATGTTTAAATGAAAATGGACTCAATTTTCTAGCAACCTCAGAACTAAATGTCCCAGCAGATGACTCCCTGGTTTACCCAGAAAGCAGGAAACCAAAGCTTTAGTGCAGCATTAGAGTATACTGCAAGCTAAAAACAGAGGACTCTCTTAAAGTGTATGTCCATCCAAAATGTTCATTTAGTATTGAGTGCAGAATAATTAGAACCCGTCTACCTTTTACAGCTATAAAAAGGCTGTTTTAGAGATTTGTCCTCACTCATCCTGCTGATAACGTTTTACAGTGACAGCCACCCAGCAACAGCAAGAAAGACTGAAAAATACTGTTTTTCATTAGTAGAGTAGGAGGATGCTATGCAGATTTTCCCTCATTTCCTCTCTGGTGTAATTGCCTGCAGGTTGGGAAGCGAGGATAGGATTGCTCTGAATCCAGCCATAGATGGATAGGAATTTGTCCAGTTCTGCAGACACCAGCCGAATTTCAATCCATCTGCTGTGTATGAATCCACCTCAGAGCCCATAGAAGTGAAGATTCAGAGGCTACATAGACACTGTCATATGGTAAAATATGACATGTGAGGAGTATGTGCAGCTGCTCCTGCTTGCATGTCACATTTTGACATGCGACTATCTGTGCAGATGCTGTGTCTGCATTCACTTCTATGGACTGCCGACATGCAGCTCCAAGGTGGTTTCACACATAGCAGCTCAAAGGATGGGTCTGATCGCCCATCTGAATGAAGCCTAAAAAAGGGATGTTATGTAATGCTATCTCAACACTTGCAGTGTCTGACTATCACCTAAACTATTAAAACTATGCCTGTCATGAAGTATGGGGAATGCCATTTTTGACCTCCTCAGGAAAAAAATGGTTGCCAGGCTGTTTTACTGGCTTCTGAAACATGAACCTGCAACCTGTAAGCAAATAGGTAAAGTCACAAGTCCTTTTCTACAAAACGTGATTGAAGTCCCACCTATACATTATCCACACAGCTTGCCTGGTGGCGTATACTGTGGCAAAACAGAGCTGTGGTTTTGGTGGCTTCCATGTACTACTGCACTCTAAACACTGTCACTGATTCTACCAATGTATGGTCAAACTTGTGCCTTAAAAATGGGACAGGTCAGATTTAGAAAATTGTGCAAGCCAATTGTAGTAGACCGGCTACTAAGCATTGTATAGACTTGATTTAGTGTCTGTGTTAGGATAAGGATGGCCATACACAAACTGAAATTTGGCTGATCCAGAAGGGACCGGTAATTAGGGGACTCTTCAATTCACTGTGTGAATGGAGGAATTTTTTTTTTGTTTGTTTAGCCAGCTCGTACAGCGATTCAACTTACCATTGATGGCCAGCTTTAAAGTGGTTCTAAAGCCTAAAAGGTTTTGTTTTTTTCTTTTAATACATTCTATGCATTAAACTAAAAAAGCCTTCTGTGTAACAGAATCCTCCCCTTTACTTACCTGAACCCATTCATGATCCAGTACTGTGCATGAGAGCCAAGGCTCTTCCAGCTCTGTCCTTCCTCTTTTGAGCAGATAGATAAGCAGGATCCATTGGCTACTGCTGCTGTCAAATGCTGTGATGGGGAGCAGGGCTGAGCTGCCCAGTCTATCAACAAACACAGACAAGACTGCTCAGGAACAAGCCTGCACAAGTGCCCCCTTAGGAAGCTGCTCCCCCCACATAGGTTGGTCTTCATATTAGGCAGCCTACACACAATTTTTTCATTCCACCTGCTAACTTGTGTGTGGATGGGGGAATTCTCACTGTTAAGGTATCATTCAGATATCTGGGAGACTTCGATGCCGCTAGAATATACAGATTGGCATTGCGGGCTATAGCGTGTAGCACTGATCGAGCGAGCGGGGGAAAACCCAATAGTGCTGTTGTATAGAAATTGAACATTAGATTTACTTCTGTACAACCTCAGTGCCTATACATGGATTGAAACTTGGCCGCTCCCTACTGAAC